AAGTCGGTTATGGTGATCATTCGATAGGAAGAAGAGGCTAACCGCCAGCCTAATAATGGAAGGAGAAGGGGATCAATTGGAAGTTGACGAAGAGAAAGACTGCGATGTTCAGTTGTATAATTCGAATATTCAAATCTCTGCTCATGTTCCACCCCTAAGCTGTGTACACGGAAAGAAAGTGTGAGAAGGGCGGGGACCATTTGTAGAGTCCCATCTCACAAATGATAGTCACAGGGGCGGCACGCCGACCTTAGATGACTGACCCCCAATTGTTTCCTATAGCTGAAATACAGCTGAGATGTGATAGCAAAAAAAAAAAAATTAGTAAACTGCTTCTATCAGTAGCCTGACAAGCGTTCAAACTCGGCCGCCACTATGAAACAAGAAATTCACATGTATTGGTTTTGAGGCATCAAGCGGGGCTATTGAAGATCGATGGGCTAACTATTGCACCAGCTGGCGAACCAATCCCTTTACGATTCATTCATTCGTTTTCACGCCAAAAATTACTCCTGGGACTTGGCAAAGTTGTCCTGGAATGGCCAATTCCACGAAAAGGATGTGATTCGGGGGGAATTGAGGCTGATCCTTTGTACGTTTTAACCACTGTGTTTTGAGCTTTGTGTTACTTGTTCTTTGTATGCGACATAAGGGATTTGGCTGCCGCCTTTCCAATCGACTACTATCTTTGCACTGGACTGCCGCGTTTGGCTTTTCGCCTGCCGCCTTTTCGATTTGGCTCCCGCTTTTGAACTCGCCTGCCGCCTTTGGGAAGCCCCGAAATTTGCGACGAAAGTGATAAACCCGCCGCCCCGATTCACTTTTAAACACTCCACGAAGGAGGGAATCTTCGACGGCACCGTCAGCGGTGCTCTGCTAATAATGGAGCTAATTGTAAGGAAGTGTCGTGAACGAAGCCCTTTCTTCAAAAACTGTTCTGGACCGGGACGGAATCGAACCACTCGTCCTCATTTCCGGACGCAATGTATTACCACCATACCACCGGTCCTCGTACTCAAAGTTCAGCCTGGCAGCACATCTACTGTGTATCTGCCTTTCAAGGCAAGGTACATCTTTCTTTTGATCTCTTTTTTTTTCTGCAGCGGCTTTTCGTGGGTTCTCAGAGACAGGAGGCTCCCGCAAGAGATCGGCTGTGAAGCGAAGATGTTGTGTTGATTGGTTTCCGAGCCTTTCATCCCCTTATCGGAGGTACTGCTGTGTAAGTGCAAGCAGCCGTTTTAAACTTCGCGCTTACCTCAGCGTACGAACTATAGTAGACGAACGCGTAATCAGCAAGTCCTGGCGCTGTGATATCAGCATTGACGATCAGACTTCGAACGACACCCCATCTGGAGAAGTATTCATTGATCTCTTGCAGACTGGTGGTATGCGGAATCCCCACAACAAGCAGGCTGCCGGTCCGAACAGTCCACAAATCGTTCATTATTTCCATCCCAGTTCGCAACGCCGCCAGTATACGCTGTAAGAACAATACATCAACCAATGGCAACCAGTGCACACTGAACACAACTGCTATGATATTTACTAAAACCGACCACGGAAAACCGCGCCGCTTCATCATCTCGCCATACTGAACGATCCGGACCCCAGAAATTTGCGCCCATTGTTGTTCTAGGAGGGCGGAGGCAAAGATCGAAGGCGCGGGAGAAATACACCCAGAAGCAAAGCAAACGGGCCTTTTATCTCGGGCATTTTTACGCTTGATGCTGAAGCTTCGCACTGAGACGCACTACTGCCTTGAAGAACAAGGCGAGAGATGAATATGGAAGGGGACCGGGGAGGCGGGGGAGGGGGGG